CTTTATTCCTCCCGCTGCTTAGCTCTCTATTTCTTATTTCTATTCACCGGATTAGCCTTTACATTGTAGTTTATAGTGTTTTGGCGAAGTTAGCACAGCTAAAAAATAATTTTGCTGATTTTAATAAAGGCTTATTCGTTATTTTTAATTCGTGGGTATACTATGCATGTCATTATACAAAAGACAACACATGATACATTGTACGTTCTTTAAATCGAAAATCTTTATTAATAAATATGGGATAGAGGAAGATCCTGATGCAAATTTTATTAAGCTCGTCTTGTTTCGTTTTTATTTTACCATTGATTTCGTTCAGAATTTGCTCCTTTTCTATTTCATACTCTAAGATTTCCCGTTTCTAATTCCAGAAAAATAATAATGAATAACAATAAAGCTGATTTAATGCTAATAGGTTATTTTACTTACTATTTTACACTCCTTAATTACATCGATCCAATATTCTTCGAACTTTTTCGCACGGCGTTCTCGTTCTGAACCAACCTATAGTACGAAAAGTATTTGTTAATAGTGTGTAATTTTTTATTTAGTGATAAAGAGCATGCCTAAATCAAATGCTTTAGGGCGAACCCTATAGTATAGAACAATCAGTTGATAAAAGCATGCTCCAAAAGGAAGGCACATAATCGATTTTTCCTTCAGAATAAATAGACCTTTACCAACGACAAAGTTAGGGTGTCCGAATAGAGGACTTGGAGTGGTTACCAAGTGGTCATACTTGGTAGTTCTCCTAGGCAATGCGCATATTGCGGTTCGACTAGAAGTTACCCTAACCTTGCAAAATAAAAAAAAAACACACCTTTTCATACAAATCTTCACCAAGTTTTTGTGCCTCTCTTATGAAGTTAGTAGACCAGTCGTTATCAAGATTGCGCCAACAGGAATCGGCCAGAGTGGTTGCAACAATCGCATCTCGACAACGGAGTAGAAAACTCCAGAAAGATTTGTTTTTGCTTTGCGTCAAATAAGACAAAAGTTCTTCATATCCGAGATATTTTTGTTTGGAAGTCATGGTATAAAAAACTTGGTATATCTAGTTTTGTTGAGGTCGAAGGAAAAGTACAAGAATCGTAAAAAACGCGAACCCTTAAACGCGTTAATTTGTCGAATTTGGTTATCTTGCACTTTACAGGTGAGAAGTTGCTATTTTGGGTGCAGAAAAATGTTCCTGTGTATTACTCTGTGCAAGGTGAAATTTCCTAATTATATCCAATAAATGAAGGTCCACTTAAGAACTATTATAATTAAACGGAAATAGTTGTTATATATTATTAAACCTTTTATTTTATTAATAAAAACAACTTTTATCAGTTAAGGGACATTTCCCTCCCGTTGTTATTACACACAATATAAATTGTATTATAAAAATAACATTTTGAGTCTTG